CCCGGCGGGGGGGGAGGAGGGGGGGGGCGGCAGCGCTGACCCCCCGCTGCAGCCTGCGCCCCGCACCGCGGGCTCGTCGGGACCGTGGCGTGGGGAGGAGGGCTCGAGCCCCGAAGGTGCGGGTGCGCTGCCGTGGGCAGAGCCGCCGAGCCTCGCGTGGGACGCGCCCTCGGGGCACGGCGTGGTCCGGTGTCTCGAACCTGGGGGGGCAGTTCGCCGCTCGGGGGTTGCTTCTGTTCGCTGGCTGTGGAAGGTGGTGAGACTGTGCGTTGGGGGAAGTACCTCTCGCTGTCAAACGCAGGGTTGGGGGTTCTGTGGAGAAAGGATGCAGCCTCCCAAGGAAATTCGTATTTCGGAGCAGTACCTTTCGGTTCCAGGAGATAACGCACGCTGCGGGCATGGTACGGCTGCAGCGTTGGCCGGAGGTGTCGGGGGGATTGTCCTGCAGAGTCCCTTGGGGAGGAGCGCAGCTGTCCCTGGGACATCATCCTCGTTAGTTCAGGGTGCTGATCGCGTAACCGCGAGGTCTGCTCTGGGTGAGCAGCCTAGAGCTCTGCAGCCTGCGTCCTGCTGGGTGCCGTGCTCGGTGCTCACACCATGGCTGGGGAGCTGCAGTCCCGGAAGCTGCTCCCTGCGTGCTGGGACCTGACCCCCCGCTCAGGCGGGCGCACCGCGGCACCGAGCTTCCCAGCGGGCGGGCCGGGTGGGTATGTGCTGGTTTTTCCTGGGTCGGTGAGTTTGCTTTCTAACGTGTTGTCTTCCCTGCAGTTGTCCTGTTGGACTCGAAGGAATCGCAAGCGGAGCTGGGCTGGACCTCGCACCCATCAAACGGGGTAAGTGTGGAGGTGGGACTGTCCCTCTGTGCTGCTAGAGAGGGTCTGCCGCTTGGTGCTCAGCATGCGGAGCTGGTGGAAAGGGCTGGCAGCCACGGGGTCTCCTCGGGCCGGGGGCAGGTGGGCAGCTCAGCACAAGCTGTCATGTTGATCAGCACCACGCACCCCGAGGAGCAGAGCGAGAAGTGAAGTACTGGTTATGGGAGTGGTACAACCAATGTGGAACAGCTCCTCAAAATGAATTTTACACTCCTGTAATCAGCAAATAGCAGCCAGTTAAGGCTTTGTGTTGTAGTTTGCACACCAGCGCGAGCTCCTGGGGGGTGAGCTCAGCGCTTGGAAGAGGGCTGTGGCTGGGGTGGGATCACCAGGAGCTCTGCCTCACGTAGGGTTTGTTTGATCAGGTCCTTGCTTTGCTGCCGGGGTCCGTCTACAGCTGCTTTCAGGAGAGTGTGTCGGGAAACTCAAGAGTTGTGTTCCTTGCTGCTTTGGGTTCATTTTCCAGAGTGGAAACAAACCATTCAGAGGGAGTAGTGATAGATCCTGGAGTCATCTGTGTTGCCCAGGTGTATTTGGCAATCTTGCATAAATTTACCCCCAGAAAGAATTATTTTGGGAAGTTGCCAGGTCATCCTTAAGGCCGTGAGGGTTGAAGCATCATTTCACTAATCAGAATCTCTGCTGGTAACTTTGGGGAAATACTGTTTCGCTTGAAGTCTGAGGGTTTGTCCTGTTCTGGCTAAAACTTCTCCTGACAGAGAAGCTGCTGCTTGCTGTTCACAAAGATAGTTGTCCTTGTGTGACGGTGTGTCTGGCGTCGCATCTCCTTGGCAATCTTTGACTTCTCTGGGTAGCCCAGCCCCATCTGGCATTACACCGTATGGTAATGCTCTGCAGACGCACCTTCCCAGGGACAGAAAATCCAAGGCGTGTGTGGGAGATAAAAGGCTCTGGCTTCTCAGCAGTTGATATGTCCCGTTTCATATTAGACTTTGTTTTAGAAGGTCTGATGCCAGTGCCCTCTTTCTGGTTGTGTCTCTGCGTTTGCACCTCTGCAAAGAGCTCAGGTGTTAGGTGCTCCAGCAGCACCGCTGCGTTACTACAGCTTGTGGGTTTGGTGGGCTGAGGACTTTCAGTGCCTATGATACGATGGCCTGTAGGTGGAGAGGCTTGTGGTGGTAATTTCATACTGATCGGTGTGTTTCTGCCAGGGTGGCTGGTTCTTGCGCACAACAGCGCTTGAGCTGTTACAGTCCTTTGTATTCTTTCCCCAGTGGGAAGAAATCAGTGGCGTGGATGAGAATTACAAGCCGATACGCACGTACCAGGTCTGCAATGTCATGGAGCCAAACCAGAACAACTGGCTGCAGACAGGCTGGATTGCCAGGCGCGATGGCCAGAGGATCTTCATCGAGCTGAAGTTCACCCTGCGGGACTGCAACAGCATCCCTGGCGTGACAGGCACCTGCAAGGAGACTTTCAACCTGTACTATGTCGAGTCTGACTCCGACCTGGGCCGTAGCGTCCATGAGAGCAAGCACACCAAGATCGACACCATTGCTGCTGATGAGAGTTTCACGCAGGGGGACCTGGGTGAACGTAAGATGAAACTGAACACTGAGCTGAGGGAGATTGGGCACCTGAGCAAGAGAGGCTTCCACCTGGGCTTCCAGGACGTGGGAGCCTGCGTGGCGCTGGTCTCCGTGCGCGTCTATTACAAGAAGTGCCTCGCCACTGTGCAGAACCTGGCTGTGTTTCCGGACACGGTGGCGGAGACGGCCTTTGCAACTTTGGTGGAAGTTAAGGGCACTTGCGTCGCTCACGCTGAAGTGGATGTGGATAATCCCCCCAGGATGCACTGCAGCGCGGAGGGCGAGTGGCTGGTCCCCATAGGGAAATGCACGTGTGGTCCCGGCTTCGAGGAGAAGGATGGGGGATGCAGAGGTAAAAGCGGCCGTCGGTGTCCTTTGGCAGTTTTTGTCTGTGTCAATCCATGTTGCTGCCAGACTGCTTGAGTCTGCTTGGTGCCTGAGCACACCTCAGACAAATGGTATTGCCTTTTGTCAGCAATATGATTCTTTTAGTTGATTGCAGCTCCCCAGCTAACAGCCAGACCTTAATTTGAAGGGTGGTAATTGGGCAAATGGGGCGTGTTGCTGGTAGCTGCTCTGCAGCATGGCGTTGGCTGGGCAGATGTGCCAAAGCTCTTGAATACCATCGGGCATTTCCCACAGCTTTATCTGTAACTATAAAATTACTCTAGAACATTAATATCCCCGTTGTCATGCTTTAGACACAACTTAATAATTTGGTGACTTTACAGCTCGCAAGGTTATGTTTAATGACAGCTGTAAAAATGGATATAACCTCTACCTTAATGGGCATCTCTCTCACGAACCTGGTGCTCTGACCACTTCGATCTTGCTTTCAAATGCAGGTGAGAGCTGGGCGTGGGATCAGCCCTGAGTGTGGGACACCAGCTGCCGTGGTCCTCCTCGGAGTGTGTGAGCCCGTGAAAGGAGAGAGGTGCTGGGCTAATGCCTCCTCCCAGGCACCTTCCCGCTTCGGGCTGTGGTCAGGACCTAGTCCTGGCTCAGCGTGGTCTCGGCTGCTCCTGTGCTGAGTCAGGTGTCAGCAGGAGCCGGCAGCGGTCCCGGGGGAGCGGAGGCTGCTCTGCGTGCGGTGCGGGGCAGCGGGTGTGCATCTCCTACCCCAGGAATGGCTGTTGTCCATCAGCACCTGGGGCTTTTCTTCTTTGAAAGGTGTAATTGGCTATCAATTATTAACAGGCAGTGTGCGTGGCTGCCCTCTTAGCAAAGCTCCTCTGGGGCAGAGGAGAGGTCAGACCATCAGCTGGGATGTGTGAGAGGAGGTGTTTTCTTCAGACAGCCTGAAAGACATGCCTGAAAAGACACTTTGCTGCCCGTGCCTGGTGTCCAGGTGATACCTTGGACCTCTACTTTTTCACCTAGTAGGAAACAGATTGAGAGGAAAGTAGCGAAATAAGTCCCAAGCAGGTACAGTTCCCCTGTGTTTGAGGCGTATGGTAGGAGAGTGAGCTTTTCCTGAGGAATCAGGTTTGCCCTTCAGGAGCTACTTGAGGCTTTTCAGATTTAAATTGTGCCAACTGTGCCGCCTTCCTCCAGGAGGTGGGAAGCCTTTCCAGGTGCTCCAGGTAGTGGCTATTCACTTGGTGCCCTCCATAAGAAGACCTTATTAAAACTATCGAATTGAAATCTCAGGACTGTTCATTGCTTCAGTGGCTGCATGGCAGCTTGCCATGCTTTCCCCATCTGTTTGGAGTGGGAATTTACATAGCGAGTCCCAGAAGGCTTTTACTAATGTCTCAGGTTTCTCTGTGTTGAGTTTAAATAATTCATATTCTCTAAGGAAAAATATTTGAAGTAATTTAATGGACGTAATTAAGTTTTCCCCCCCCTCTCACAGAAAGCAGGTCATTAGCCACTCTCCATGGAGCAGCGTCTGATGTCTGGTCAAATATCAGAAAATAGTTTTTAAGGGTTGAAAGTTTTTGGTTTGTTTTAGAGCCCTGCATTAGCATAGTGCTAAGTGCATAACTTTAAAACATTTCTGATGAAAGCATCCAGGGCTAAGGAGGTTCTTTGACAAGGACAAAAGCCCTCGAGCTGGAGGCAGGTAAATATGGTGGGAGTTTGGGGATGTTAAAACAGCCAGGTGATGGCACAGCAAATCTGGCTCCGCTATTGTGGTCCCACGGCGGTGGCTTTGGAGGGCTCAGTGGGTGCGAGCCCGCTGGATCCTCCTTGCCCGTGAAACATATTGGGCACAGTCTCTGTCACGGCTCTTGTGCCCCTGAGAGGTTGGACCCCAAGGGCCGGCTGCTTTGGGGACCGGGGGCTGCCCCCCCAGCCGGTGCCAGGGGTGGCTGGTGGTTCTCCAGGCTGTCTTGGGTGTTGCTTTGCAGCTCCTGGTCCTCTCCCTTATCCTTCGATCTTCTCCGAGGACTTTCTGGCTGTGCCTGCAACGTGGGCCGTGCTGGTGTCTGAAGTCAGTCGCCTGCTGACCCCACCGACCGCCGGGGTGGCTGCGTGTCCGCTGATCCCGCGGGGCCTGGCCGCCAGCTGGATCCGGGACGGATCTGGGGCGACGCTTAGGCCCAAGTGCGTGGCGCAGCTTCTTGGGCCTAAATCAAAAGGAAATCGGACGGCAGAAACACAGGAGAAGTTTCCGCAGGCCATCTCGCGCTGGGCGCTGCCCTCCATCCTTGTGCTCCGAAGCCAGGGCACGCGACGGTGTCCGCCGGGGACCGGCCGGTGCCCCGCGGCTGCGCTCGCCGGGCAGAGGGGGCCGGTCGAGGTCCTCGGGTGGTCTGACCCCAGCCCAGCCGGCCGGGGGTGGTGGGGGGCTTCGCTGCCGCTGGTGCCCT